CCCTGTGAGCCCCCATCAACGTTTAACTTCATAGTGCCATTTCGTGGACTCTTCCAACTAACTAGCTTAGGCACTACCACAAGGATAGGCGCTACTGGGACATTTAACCTTTCCAGAATTTCTCTGTCATATTTTTTCATTTTACGAAACATTTTGAAGGAGCTCGCAATTGTGAACAACATCGTCTTAACCTGTCTAATAACACACCTCGGAGAGGTATTGAGTTCCTCCATTCGAGCTGCACATCTAGCTCTCCACAAATGCCAAGTGATCAGCAAAGGAATGATTCCACGTAGCACCCCCACCTGTGTGTTTTGTGAAGCTTTTGACCACCATGATATCAGATGTCCTTGCCAGCAACTAGCCGCTGAGAACGGAATCATACAAGCCCCTGAGAAATATTTCCACACTTCTTTAGCCAGATCACCGGTGCTCAAAATGTGATCTGCCGTTTCATATGATGGTTTCGTACAACAATTGCATCTAGATGCCAGGTTGACTCCCACAGCTTGGATATTGATGTCCACAGGTAGCTTAGACCGCAAGGCTCGCCAACTAACAAAAGAAATTTTCTTGGGCACCGGTGAGGACCAAAGCCATTTTTTCCATTCACATCTCTCACCTCTTGCCCGAATGATCTCCCAAGCTGATTTAGAAGTGAACTGACCATCATTTGTTGGTTGCCAGATTAGAGCATCGCTACCAGGTCGAAGCACAATATTAGCATCAATAATTCGTTTAATACAATCATCATCAACAAGGTATTGGAGCTTTTCCGTATCCCAACCAGTATCCGACAAAAAATCCTTAACTTGGAGTTTCTCGTCATAGTTTTGATATTCATGTGATAGATTCAACAAGGTTTTGGAGCTTTTCCGTATCCCAACCTGTATCCGACAACAAATCCTTTACTTGGAGTTTCTCGTCATAGTTTTGATATTCTTGTGATAGAGGACCTGACCCCAACCAGTTGTCAAACCAAAAACTAGCTTCTCCACCTGTAAACATGGACGAAGTTGCTGTTTTCCCTTTTGACTTTGTGGTTATGATCTTTACTGTTATTTATGGACACAGCAACTAGAAATAGAAACTGATCTAACCTAGTGATGGACCTGACGTGCTTCTGTTAAGAATGCTAGTAAATGGTTGGACTTCAATAAGGATCTCTAACATGATTTTCTGGGACTTTATGGTGTTGTTGTGGGCGAGTATGGAGGATAAGTTTCGTGGATGAGAAGATTCAGCTAGTGTTTAGGAACCTGATATGTGCGGATATTCAGAAATATGATTAGACTTTGAGCCATAACTCTATTTGGATCAATGTTTACAGTATGTGGAGTCTTTAAAATGCTGATTGCAGATTTGGACATTGTTCAAGTTTATTATATTTAGCAAATGTTAGCTATGTATTTTGATTAATGATGTTACTTGTATTCAGGTTTGATTTCTCAGGTAAGTGCAACAATGAAGCCCTCAAGGAAGAATTGGAAGAGAAACGAAGGGCACAGGTATAACTACTATATTATGCTTGCAAAGAAGATGGATTAATTTGAGTCTAATTTATTAACGCTTGGCAATTTGGGAATGTGCAGGTGGTGGCCAAGCTTCATGCTATATTACGTCCTTTTCTCCTACGCAGAATGAAATCAGATGTAGAACAAATGCTTCCTCGTAAAAAGGAAATTATAATATATGCTACATTGACTGCTTATCAGAAGAACTTCCAGGACCATCTCATTAATCGGACACTGGAAAATCACTTGCGAGAGACGGTGGATACCGGTGAGCAGTAGATACCGGTGATGAGACAGTTTTCCTGAGTTGTATCTGATATTTTAGCGTGATGCTGGATGCTTTGCATATTTTAGCAAGTCCTATTTAGGTGGTGTAGGGGTTTGATTGACGTGAATGTAAATTTTGACTCGACACAACATGGTGGCATACGACATGCTACACTGGAACAATTCTTCGTGCTTCCCACGTTCCTGGTCTTTTGGATTTAAATGAATTTGAAACCCATTTCATGCACGCTCAAATTTATATTCCAGACAATGGACAACTCATCCTTCTTACAGAGCTATTATTTCAACATGCAGGGCGTGGCATGAAAGGAAAGCTGAATAATTTGATGATTCAACTTAGGAAGAACTGCAATCACCCTGACTTGTTGGAGTCTGCTTTTGATGGTTCTTGTATGTTATTTGCAGTTTATATAATTTATTTAATTTGATTAATTAATGAACCATCGTAAGATTTATCATCTTATTTCCTGGCAGATTTTTACCCACCTGTTGAACAGATAGTGGGGCAGTGTGGCAAATTTCAGTTGCTGGATAGATTGCTGGCCAAGCTGTTTGAGCGCAAGCACAAAGTAATTATCCAGTTATATAGTTTGTGTTTCTCAATTGTGTTCTGACTTCCGAGTACTAATTGTCTTTCATTGGTCTTTATGTGGTGTGACAGGTTTTGATCTTCTCTCAATGGACAAAAATTTTGGACATAATGGAGTACTATTTTTCGGAAAAAGGGTTTGAAGTATGTAGAATTGATGGCAATGTGAAGTTGGCAGAAAGAAAAAGACAGGTGATTGCAATATCTCTTTTTCATATGGAACATCTGAGTATATTCTGTTGTTGCAACCTTCTAGGTTTTGTATTACAGTAGACTCGAAACATATATATATATATATATATATATATATATATT